GCACTAGGTTTTAGCCTCCCACGTCCCAAACACCTCTCAAACGCCTCGCTCTGCCATTTCGCATGCCGAAGACTAAAGCGCATGGCCATTCACGTTTCAGGACTCGATCTTGGCATGCGTCTAGCCCTAGCCACGCCATTTCGCGTCCCTAATTGGCCATAATCCCGTTGCGATACGCGCTGGTAGACGGCGGAGCTTGCTGTGTCGCAGCTCGCAGTGCAAAGCCATGGAAGATGGTTCGACTTCTGCTACCGTTTCGCTCTTTGGGCCCTGGATTGCTCATCTTCCAAGCCATCTGACGAACTGATACCCTTGATCCACTTTGCTAATGGCAGAGCGGACCTGACTTGTCCTGGCCCCCGTCGTAGCCGCTTTTCTCTCTGTTCGCCGCCTTGCAACGTTGGCTTATAGGCTTTTGTTTCCCCTACTCACCCCAAGACTCGACCGATTTCATGCCGGTGCCTCTTTAGCCGGGTGACTGAACGCCTCTTCCTGTACCTATTCTCTTCTTTTGTGCGGGCACTTTTAGTAAGTCATACATTCTTTCCTGTGGCTTCCTGTGCTATGGCGTCGTCGCTGGTGACTTTGATCTAACCTCTATGCAGATTACTTAGACACTCTTTGAACTCATTGCTACACTTCGGCCACATTCAGCAGGTCTGAAGATCATCGGCATCCACAACACGCTCTCAACCGCTGCTACGTTCGCTTCTTCTGTCAACTATGTCGTACACCACCAGTCTCACAGGTCGCGAGCGGTCACGATGGCCGCCGCTGACGCGCATGCTCATGTCCGGAGAGATGTCGGACCAAAAAGCGCGAGAGTTGACCCGGAAAGAGAAATTCGATGTGTGGATGGTCAATGAGGGTTACCGAAGATTGTACGTTGCACTACACCGTATGTGAAGAGCCTCGACTAACGTATCTAGTTTTGTTTTTACATTTGCGATATTGCACGTCATGGTCTTCGTCTTTGGTATGATGAACTATGGGCTAAAGGTATGAATGGATAGCTCAGATCACAACGAATACCGCTCACACGTCCTAGGACAACTCCATTGGTTCAAGACAAACCTTTGGTCTGACCTTCCCCATTGCTCGTTCAGCCGCTCTCGTATTGCACGTCGACGTTGCCTTCATCCTCTTCCCGGTATGCAGGAACTTAATCTCCATGGCTCGCCGTACGCCGTTGAACGACGTTATTCCTTTCGACAAGAACATCACCTTCCACAAGCTGGTCGCCTGGTCTATCGTCTTCTTCTCGTGGGTCCACACTATCGCCCATTGGAACAACCTTGCCAAGTTTTCGGCTTCAAACAACCTGGGATTCATGGGCTTCATCCTTGCCAACCTTGCAACTGGACCTGGATGGAGTGGTTACGTTATGCTGACTGCGCTCATGGCGATCGCTGTCACTGCTGCGGAGAAGGCTCGTCGCGCCAACTTCGAACGTTTCTGGTACATGCACCATCTGTTCATCGTCTTCTTCATCTTCTGGTCCATCCACGGAGCCTTCTGCATGATTCAGCCCGACTTTGCGCCCTTCTGCGACGGTATCGGTGTCTTCTGGGAGTACTGGATGTACGGTGGATTTGCGTACCTGGCCGAGCGAATTGCCCGTGAAGTACGAGGACGACACAAGACGTACATCTCCAAGGTCATTCAGCATCCCAGCAACGTTTGCGAAGTTCAGATCAAGAAGGAGCACACCAAGACCCGCGCTGGACAGTACATCTTCTTGTGCTGCCCTGAGATTTCCATCTGGCAATACCATCCCTTTACGCTTACCAGCGCACCCGAGGAAGACTACATCTCTGTCCACATTCGTATGGTCGGTAACTTCACCAAGGCCTTCGGTCAGGCGCTTGGCTGCAACACAGACAAGAAGCCAGCTGGCGAGAAGGGCGAGAAGGGTGGGTCCAGCGAGGAAATTGCCCTACGTCAAATTCTTCCCCGAGTCTACATTGACGGTCCTTTCGGTTCGGCCTCTGAGGATGTGTTCAAGTTCGAAGTCGCCGTTCTCTGCGGTGCCGGTATTGGTGTAACTCCTTTTGCATCTATTCTCAAGAGTATCTGGTACCGCATGAACTACCCTCAAGGATCCCGTACGAGACTGAGGAAGGTCTACTTCTTCTGGATTTGCAGAGACTTCGGATCTTTCGAATGGTTCAGATCGTTGCTGCTGGCTATCGAGGCGCAAGATATCGATGATCACATCGAGATCCACACCGTAAGTTTTATGTCCATTGCTGGCTCTTAACGGTCTACTAACCTTCTTCACAGTACCTCACAGCAAAGATCAAGGCAGACGACGCGACAAACATCATGATCAATGACGCAAACGCAGAGCAAGACGCCATCACCGGTCTCCGCGCACCCACAAACTTCGGTCGCCCTAACTGGGACATGATCTTCAAGTCCATTCGCAAGATTCACTCACCTGCCGAAGCCGGTGTCTTCTTCTGTGGACCCAAGGGTCTTGGTTCCACGCTCCACGTCAAGTGCAACATGTATTCTGAGCCAGGCTTCAGTTACGTGTGGGGCAAAGAGAACTTTTAGACGCAGTCGGGGGGATTACGATAAGGAACGCGGAGAATAAGATGAGAAGTATACCATTTGCTATATTGAGCGAATTGTCACTTATTACATGGTTGTATATAATTCGCTCCTCTTTTTGGTTGTTGTTGGTTAATCTTGAAAGCTGCAAGCGGCTAAAGACACATGTTCAACGTCTACGATATCCCATAGAAATCTTAATGATGCAATTCGAATACCAAATGTCAGCATCCACAACATCCCATGCCGATCCACCTGTCCATACTTGCCAATTCCAAGATCAGCCTAATTAGCCTGGTTCCCTCAGATTTCAGGCAGCCGTTGATCCCAAGTACCAGTATCACGCCACTGTCGTTCATGCGTCCAAGCCACTCAAACACTCCGAAACCCTGCGTGCCGCATCGCGAGATGAACCGCTCCTCGCCACGGGTAACGGCAATGCTCGGACTCCGCGGGATCTACGCTTGTTACCGAGCGATGGGGTTGGGTGGTCCTTGTCAGGACGCGGTGGCCATGGGTGGGCCGCGGACAGTGTGACGCAAATTCGGGAGAGGAGACGGTGGTCAAGCTTTTGGTGTCTCGGGAGCCAAGAGCTTGGTGTCGGAGCATGTGAATGATTGCAAATACGACGATCGATGGAGGGTGAACCCTATAGTTTGCTTACGATGAATTGGTCATCGTGATACTTCGGTGTGTTCTACATTCCTTTTTTCCATCCCTTCGCTGACCAATCGTTGATCTCTACCAACCCTTCTATCTCCCTCACTCCGGGCTTGATACCCTCGCCAACACTGGTGTCATGGGCTCCAATGACCCACACGTTGTCTTTTCGCGCGAAACTTCTTGTGCGCAGCATTGTATTCACTGCCTGTTCTGGGTCGGCGTGCATGCCTGACTTCGCATATGGTGGTCTCGCAGTGCGTTTGGGCTCTTTGAGAACGTCGAGATGGTGGTAGCAGTCACCAGCCAGCAGTACAAACGTGTTCTCGTTCTCGGTCGAGCCCGATGTCGTTCGCACTAGCATCATTTGATGGCCCGGAGAGTGTCCTGGCGCATCCACGATGTATGCTGAGCCGTCACCGAAGACGTCGTAGGCGCGATCAAATGCACCGAGACCCATCCATTCGGGCTTCTTTAGATCAACAGCGGCATACTTTCCCTTGACCATGCCTTCCATGACCTGACCTGCCCTCTTATCTCCTGCTTCTCTCAAGATATCATCTGGCACATAGCTCTCTACAATCTTTCTGCTACCATCAACCGGCAAAGTCTCGCTAAGCGTAGGAGCCTTCTCATCAACCGGATAACCCGGTCTCGCGTAGGTACAGCAGGTCGGCCCAACCCACAACTCCGCCTCTTCAAATCCAGCTTTGGCTCCATCGCCAACATGATCAAAGTGCATGTGCGAGAAGATAACGGCCTTGACTTTCTCGGGCTGTTGATCAGGTGATCCGTGCTCTTGCAGTATCTCTGCGGGAGACTTCGGTTCGCACTTGAAGTTTGGTAGAGCGCCTTCGACGAGAAGTGGCGGAAGGTTCTCCAGATCTTTTCGCATGCCTAGGTCGAAAATGTACTTATTCCCGGTGGCTGTGTGCTCGATGAGGAACACGTAGTCTGGAGCATAGAACGACTTGCGTTTTCCGTTCTCGTCTTTAGAGTCGTTCGGGTCTTGCGGCTTGTCCGGACCGGGAAGCAAGACCATGTCTGTAGGGATGTGGATGCCGCCGGCCTGAATGAGGTGAACTTTGCATGTTGCGGTGGATGACGGTATGGAATGCCATGGTAATTGATTTGATGACTCGGACATGATTGTGCTAGATACGGATTGCTATCGGGATGGGAGCGTGCTGTTGAAATGGGTACGTTCAAAGAGTCTGTTTAGTTACTGACCTTAGCATGACATGCCCTTGTATCGATGACGTCAATCAAATCCATTTCCACTATTGTACCGTGTATTGCGTACAAGCCCGCTCAGATTCCAGCTGAAGCTTGAGAGTGGCAAGCTATAGCCCATATCTCGTAAGCATACATGCAAAAGCATCCTGCTTTATTACTGCTCCTCGAGACCATGTCGGCGCCCGCGCACACACACATTTTGTGCGGTCAGGCTGGAACCAAAGTCGCGTGAGCGCAGACCTATCTCGCTCTTGGGAAGATTGTATCATCTTGTACACCGAAATTTGTACACCCAGGCATTCCCATCACAGAATGACGAAAGGGCGACCCGAGAGAATTTGGAAGGGTCTTTCGCCGAATGCGGACTAGAGTGACGCGCTAGCCACGCGAGCAATCAGACGCGTCTACCAGCTTCTTCTCATCTTCTCTTAGCACTCTTCTTCCCAGCTCATCTCGTACCGAAACGCAGCCGTTCACGGCAGCAGGTCCTTCGAGGTCATCTGAGGCATACGAATCCACTCGGTGGAAATTGATCACTCGCACTAACCATGACAAACTCATCCCCTCAGCCTACAGCAGCTTCGCCTGATCCGCATAAGCCTCAACAAGTGCTGGAGGATTTCACAGAAGTCCCGACTCGAGGTTCCCAGCAGGTCCCCGTTCTGACACCAGCACTGCGATCTTCAGATCCCTACGCTCTACAATGGTTGCCCTCTCGTCCGCCAACTCCACCACAACCGACATCAGCACCTGTGCAAGGACTGCATTGTCCCCAGCCAGTCCCGTTTCAGCAACTTACCCTGGATGGTCTGAATAACGATGTTCTTGCCATCGTTATAGACTACATCCACGAGGAATCCACAATGCAGGTCTGCCACTGGAACTGGAATATCGGGCGCAAGGAACCGAAGACGGGCTTTGGCTTTCGTGCTAAAGGCACTTCACTTTTCTGCCTGTCACTAGTGAGCAAGAGAATGCGAGCAATCTCTATTCCCAAGCTTTTCGCGCATGTTTTCCGTTGCGCCTCTTCCATGGGCGCCCTCAATCGACGCTTGAGAGATTTGGAAGGCAATCCGCTTATTCCATCCCTTCCTGAGGTTCTACCAGCCATCAAGTATGTATGGGTCTGTATTATGGATAGTTTGGGCATTCGGGTCGTTTCTATGCTAATCTCATAAATCCAAAGGGCTTGTGATATAGTCACCACGTCGAGAGGCAAGACAACATTCTGCAGGACTCGACTTGCCAAGGCTCTTCCGAAGATGGTGTCTCTCGTTGAGCTGTCCATTACACATCGTAAGGACGTCGATATATCCGGCCTACGAGCGACCTTCCAGCGCCATGAAGTTACTCTTCCCACGGTCCTACGTCTACGCATTCTGTCACATGGCGACTGGTCATTCCTGGTGGAGGCCTGTCCTAACACCGAAACACTGGCTCTTGAGTACAACCTTGGTCACGATGATCTGATGGAGACAGTAGCAACTCTCAAGAGATTGAAACTTGTCGAAATTTGCTGTGACGCGTGGCAACTGGAAGACATACAACGCTTGCACCAGTATTTACCAGATCTCCAGAGCTTGGTCTTGAGAGGCGCAATCGGCCATGAACAGATCAGTGTACGAGCGCATAGTGCCACTCGTTGTAACGTTTTTTCATGTTAATTCACACTTAGAGTTTCGCAACCGCTTTCGGCTTGTTTCAGAGGCTCACCGATCTCTCCATTACTGCCAGGCAAGAGATCACCGATGAAGATGAGGAAGAGCAGTTCTCCGATGACGATTCAGGAGATGGCAGCGCCGTTGGGGATATGTATTGGGAACATGAGCTCGACGAAGAGCAAAGTTTCGTAGCTAGGAGTTTCTTCGAACACTGCCATGTACTCGAAACGCTGTCCCTGGTGCGCGTTGGCGAGACCACGCCGTGGTACCCCGTACGTGGAAACGATGGAGCTCTCGAGTCGGTTTACTCTCCACAAATGGACCGCCGGGCGTGGAATGATACCTACATGCTGGAAAGACAGGAGCACGATGACGAGGGCTTCCCTAGGCTCTTCACCTTTCGCCGACAAACCGAGTACGACGAAAGCTGGGATAATCCTAGTTATGGGGATCAGAGTCGTGAGGCCACGGAGCACAGGGTAAGTGGAACCATTCTGTAAAGTCGAAATACATTTAACATAGATCAGCTTAAGGAGCGAGACAGGTACTATGCTATCAAGCAGGAGGCTCTCGGGCTGGGCCTGTGGGAAGGAGGCTCTAGATGGCATGGATAACTCACGTACCATCGCGTACATCGGCATACATGGATATGTCATCACTCGGCAACCGACTGAAAGATACTTGCCAACCCGCACAGAGATCTTTGTAGATTATATGACACCGCCATGAGCATCGCTACTTACCTTTCTATCAACGTGATCGATAACTTTTTCACGTACCCTCAATCGACTTACTCCATCTTCCCCTACAAGACTGTGCACCTTTTCTTCGCCTTACACTCATCACACTCGCCGCCCTCCTCCTCTTGATATACCACCTCCAAGTTCTCCAAAAGGTCCGGGCATCGCGCACCTCTACGATTAGAATCCTGGCACCCGTTCAACGTAGTGTCCTCATGTGTTGGCCACTATTTCGAAGTCAGTATATGTCTTATATCCATTTCGTATGTCTCGGATCTTACCTCAGCGTATGGGTCTGATTGATTAGCATCCTCTTTGGCACTTGGGCGTTGGCGGCCTGGTTTGTGGATGGGAGAAACATGGCCGCATGCGTACTTTGTAGGTCGGAGATAGCACATCTGTAGTTATGGATGCTGTGGGTTTGCAGTAGCTGGTAGGAGTAAAGTATTGGAGCTGTAGCGATATCAATGAGTTTTGAGTCAAATGTGCGTGATCACCTGGGCAGTGTTCCTAATTGTTGATGGACCTGAGAAGTAAGAAGCGCTAAAACGAAAACCGGTGTGATATAGTGGCACATTAGCGGAGAATTAGTGTGGCGTTCTAGTTAAGGTTTTCTTTGCGTGAATGGACATTGTTGCTCGGATCTCTTCACAGCCTCCGCACGGCGCCACCGCTAGCGTGGCCGCAACGATGGTCATGACACATCACCAGCACAGTGTACACAATGGTAGAAATTCAAGAATGCTTACAAGACAGACTATGTGTATAACCGCGGTAACAATCAATGCCAAACGCCAGATTGAAATCAACACAACGCTCGGCCAATCCGCCTCCGTAACCAAGTATAAAGTCGAATATATACACTTGAGATGAAGGTAAGGATATGCCAGCAAGCCAAGGCCTACTTGGCCAGTATCGGTGCTGCCTTACCGGCCTTTTCTGCCGCAATATTCGCCAGCTTCTGGAGCTTCTCGGCGCGTACTTGGCGGAAGTATCGGAATAGCAAGATGAAGGAAAGCTCGATGCGCTCTTTGGTCATCATGAGGAAACCCTGGACGAGCAGGCCCTTGAGGATCTGGGGTCCGATGCCTTTGAATAGCGCCGCCGGGCCTTCGTGTTGTATGATATATTGCATGACTTCGGTGAAGGACTTGAAAGGCTTTCCGTTCCGGGCTGGTGGAGGTTTCGATTGAAGACCGACTTTCGCGACGATGAGCGGCTGGGTTGCGATTGTGGCAAGCGTCTTGGACATGGCTCCGATGACTGACAGATGTTAGTAGCTTTCCTTGAGTTATGGTAATGGCCATGGCTTACGGAACGCCTCGAGGGGCTTCAGCGTCTTCTTTCCTGGGTACATGACTTCCCGTAATCGCTGGTACGCTCCGTATGTGATTGATGGGTTGATGACGAGCACCAGACTCGCCCTGAGTCCTCGCCAAAGCCCTGTCCAGCCGTCATCACCATTGACCACGTCCATAGCCGTAGCGACCATGCCCTTGCGCTCCGCCTTGCTCATGGTCTGTTGCCTCGTCGTTACGACTGCGACCGGGATTGTGAAAAGCTGGGCGAGCGCTCCCGCGAGCGCTCCAAGGGAGAGTTCGACCGGCGTGCTCGGTGACGTTTGAAGCGTGCGGTTCGCCATGTAGAGGCTGCGTACAACGGTATACCAGTAGAAATAAGCGAAGTTGGTCGATGCCACGCCGAGCAGAGAGCCTCCTATGCCGGCGTATAGTCCAGAAAGACCCTCCTGCGCAAAGACCTTCTGCAACGCGTCGATGGCGCCATCGTAGTGTTCGTGGTCGGCGGGATTGGGGTCGTTGGACGTAGGCGAGCGCTTAACCTGGACCTGTAGTCGCGTCTTGATCCTGAGGTTGTGTTAGTATCTTTGCGTTCTGCCCAAAAAGGCTCGGGGAATTTGCGACGTACAAATCTAGGGGGTAGACAAGGGTGTTTGCGATGACGGCGCCAGCGGCGCCTGCGACAGCATTACCCCATGGTGGAAGAGTTTCTACCTTTGACTGGCCGGCCATAGTGGTAGTCGAGCACAGTTGCTAAGGCTTGGCGAAGTGTTGCGACTGCGGAGTGTGTGACGGGCGGAGGATATGGTGTGGAATCAGCGACTAATTCGGACTATCTCATCATGACAGTAATAATCTGAAGACTGGAGATAGCAGCATCGGAAGTTAGAAAAAGCGGGCAGGGGACGTTCATGGTGCCCGCAACGCGATAGCGCTGTCGCATGCATGGCTGACCTCTCCCGAGGTCCTAGAGGCCGAGGTTCAGGTTCGGATGACGACACACCCTGCTCCCTTGGACCTTCCTTCACCGCAGCCGCTGTCGATCACTTCGGTGAAAGTGAGCAAGCCGTGCCTGGCTGGATATGCCTCTCACGTGGAAGGAGACGTCTAGATTCGTCACTTATGCGCTGGAACTGGCTGTTCCTGCTGCAACTGGCAGTCGCGACGGCCGTTTGGCAGGAACGTGCGTCGCGCTAAGACTCAGCCCAAGATCACAACATCACAACACCAAAGCACCATCACAGCTTCTTAGTGCGCCTTGACTCCACTCACCCATAGTCAGTCGCATCGCTATGGCACAACGCAAGTAGCTCCGTCGTCGCTGCTAGTATTGGTCAAATTTCTCTTACCGTGTCCTGTCTCAAGCTACTTACGATGGCTGACCGGGCTACTGAGATTGAGGCTTACAAGGCGGCTGCAAGCGTATGTGATACAGACAACTAACTTCTCGCTGCGACATCAAGTCCCGCGTTGTAGCTCCAACTAATCAAGCTGCCAGGACTATCGCTCGCGGGTTGACAAAGCCGCTACCAAGGATGAAGCATTCAGTCTCGCAATTAGCGTGGCCGAGAACCTCATGGAAGCGATCCAACTATCGTCAAACCCAGACGAAAGGAAGGAGCTCAAGGCGCAATGCAGCGACATGTTGACTCGTGCCGATCGCATCAAGGCCGATGAAACATGGACACCTCTAGTCAAACCCCAGTCCTCCAGCTCCAGAGATGAGCGAGTAGGTCAATGGGCCAAAGAGGTCGCCGGGACTGCAACTCCAGGTACAACCTTTGGAGACTCGACCACGCGTTCAAACACGTCCCGTTGGGCTCTTTCTTCGACAACAGGACCTATCGACGGTCCAGCTGCTTCAGGTAAATCATCAGCTTCTTCATTCTCAGCATTCGTTCATCAGTCAGATCTCTCTTCAGCCGTTCCTTCTTTCCAGCAAGATGCGCGCCGAGATCTAATGCCGCTTATTGATCTTTCGGATGACGCCTTTCCAATCGATGTACCAAGTGCAGTCACTGATGCGTCATACGAAGATAGCTCAAACGCCAACATTCACCGTGACAACCATCCGAAGAACGGACACGAATCCGTGTTGAATTCATCTGCAGTGCCACAGCCCTCTAGCGCAGAGTCCCAGCCTGGAGTACCCGAGTCGCAAACAGCAGCTCTAACGCCCTCAACCGCACCTCATTCTCAGATACACAGGCTACGAGAGCCGATTTCGAGCAGGAAACTACCCACAAAAGAAAGCATCATTTTGTTGAAGGCTTCGACAGTCAATGGCTTCAAGTTTCCACCTTGGGACAAGACTCCATCTGCGGATGAATTCGTGTCGGAAGGCGAGGCTGCCTACACGTACGTTACCCAATGGTCATACTGGGGCTGTTCAGACATACTGATAGCGATAGGGATACACGAGACCTGAGTCTGTCTTCATACCAACAGCAGTTCTTTCTCGGGTGGCTGCGTGCCAAAGAAGCTGTGCCGCCACCCTCGCAGTTCCCTAACGGTAGGGCTGGTATCGGGCCCTTGATGTCTAGCACGAGGCCTCTCGATCTTGTACAGGATGCAGCTTCAGATTGCTCGGTGGTCACAAGCTTATGCGCTGGTATTGCTCGCTCAGAACGCGGTCACGATCAGGTTTGCCATCCTCGGAAATTCTGCAGTATCGGTACTAACCGTGGCAGATGCTCACGAACAAGATATATCCATATGACAAGCACCTTGGAAAGCCGTTGAACTCGTCTAATGGCAAGTACATCGTACGACTCAACTTCAACGGCTGTTGGAGAAAGGTGGTTATCGACGATCGACTACCTGTCTCAAAGACACATCGTCTGCTTCATGTTTTCGACCGCCGTAATCCAGCCCTCTTATGGCCAGCACTACTTGAGAAAGCATACCTGAAAGTTCGCGGCGGTTACGATTTCCCTGGAAGCAACTCGTGCAGTGATCTCTGGACCTTGACGGGCTGGATACCAGAACAGGTCTTCTTGCAAGAGTAAGTTGTTTCTTCTCTAATCCCATAGCTGACCATACTAACTCTTATAGGGCCGATACGGTTCCAGATCAGATATGGAAGCGCATACACAACGCCTTCCTGTACGGCGATGTTCTGGTCACAGCAGGCACTGGCAAGATGTCGACCAGGCAGGAGCGTGAACTTGGTCTCGAGGGCCAACACAGTTACGTCGTGCTGGATATGAGGGAGACAGAGCATGATCGACTGTTGCTCGTCAAGAATCCATGGGTCGAAGGCAAAGGCTGGCGCGGCCCTCGCCCTTCGGCTGTGACGACCATGGATCCGCCTGCTTCTACCTCCAGTCGTAGTTCTAACTACAGCCTTGAGAGTTATCACAGGGATAGCGTCCCCACTCAGGATCGGCCGCATCCAACGACATTCTGGATTGGATTAGAGCAGGTCATACAACACTTCGAGAGCCTGTATCTCAATTGGAACCCTGGTCTTTTCCGCTATCGACAAGACATTCATTTTGAGTGGAACATAGAATCATCGTCGCCAGGCGGTTGCATTGTCAAACATCCACAATTCGCCTTTACGTCCAAAGGTGC